CATTTTTAGTACACTTCTAAGCAAGTTAGGATTTTCTGCTTTTCACCACGTGAAAAAGCATCTCATCTTCCATCCGAATCAACCAAAAAGTGAAAATTGATTTTTTGACACCTAAGCCCCCTTTCCGTAGACCAGGTCACATATTGTGGCATATTTCATATAAATCCGTTTCTAGTAAAAATAGGACACGCATAGTGTCGCGTTTTTAATATCATCAAATTACAAATCACCCTGTACCAATAAAAAAGTTCTAACTTCAATAAAACTTATCGCATAACTACAGGCTAAGGTCTTTACTTTGCCCTCTCATATTTGAAATTCGAAAGAACGTTGCAAATCTGATGACCTTCACAAAAAATTCCTTCTCGTTTAATATACATAGTCAGATCGGTATGACTTTTCGAAAATGTGGCAAGCTTAATAAACGATGTTTTCAACGTTCCCACGACAGTCGGGTTTACGTAGCCGGAACGACCCAGATTTATATCTGGCCAAGGACTGTCACTCCAGCAACACTCACCAAAAACCCTTTGGGGAACTTGTATGCTGCTACAACAACAACGATATTTTCAAACTAAAGCTTTCATAAATGTCTTTCGATTGACACCCATATTTTAATATTTTATACAGCTTGTGTATAGTTGATTAAATTCGACTATTCAAACAGCTAGAAATCCTTTTCAAAAGTATTTTCAAACCAAAAACCTTCTTAAATCTCTTTCGTGTAACATATTATAATCAACTGATGAATTAAGTTGAATTTAATATTTAAACTCTTTCACTCTTTCCTCAAAGAATAATGGAACAGGCATATATTTATGTTACAAACATGGGTTGCTTTGGGCTCTTTTTTCACAAAAAAAAAAACTTAGAAAACCGTACTAGAAAGCGTAGCAAATTTATTAAGAACTCCATACTGCATTAAGGAAATTCGGCTCAAGAAAATTTCTTGATCATTTATTGTACGTCATTTCATATGGAGCTTTTGCTTTTCTTAAGAGCTGCTTACTGACATTAAATGTAGAAAAGGCAAATATCTTGAAAAAGGCAACATCAAATATGTATATGTGGAATCAGGGAAAGCTAAATCGTGGACATTCTTAATCGAATATACTCGTATCTCTTTAGCAGAAAAGAAGGCAATTTCCATAAAATCCGTTCCCTGGTTATAAGCCTATAATTACAGCATAGGAAGAAAAGTGGCTGGCTGGCTACCTCAGTTAATAAAACTGCGGACACTTGAAAGAAAAACTCGAAGTCGGATTAGGAATTTTCATACGCTCTAAATGTTTAGATTGACCATAACTGTATTTAAAGATGTTATTTTAATAAACATTTTATAAACATACCAAACTTTCATGCGGAAGACTAAATTTTGCCGCTAAAATCAAATATCGACATACATACACTGATGGAACAAAGTATTGGCACAGCATATTTTTCACAATATATGCAACAAATTTCTTCTAACATTTTTTCCGCCAATTTCGTATAAAAATATGGTTCATTCTACAACAAAAAAACATAAAAATATAATTCCTAAACTTTGTGCAAAACTCGCGAAAATTCAGCAAATTTTCATCAAAATTTTCAACTTTTTAATCAGATTTTGTAGAATTTTTGAAGTATGCAGTTTAATAGCCCATTAAATTCTAGTCAAAAAAATGCAAGTTCGGAGTTAGTCAAAAATCGCGTTGATTTTTGAGATTTTTTTTTGTTGAAGGTGTTTTGCAATTTTCCATATAAAGTATTTTCGAAAAAAAAATTGTGTATGGAAGAGACTGCTTGAAAAAAAAATTACCAAAAATCAACGGTAATTCCTAGCTACTTAAAACTTGCCCTTTATTATAATATAATTGATTGGGCCATAATAGGATAGGAATTATATTTTTATGTTTTTTGTTGTAGAATGAACCATATTTTTATACGAAATTAGCGGAAAAATATTAGAATGAAAATTGTTGCATATATTGTGAAAAATTTGCTGTGCCAATACTTTGTTCCGGCAGTGTAAGTAATAACAGTTAAATGAAACCTTAAATAGAAATGTAACATTAATTTTCAACGATGCATTACTAAGGTAAGAATTGCATGCCCAATTAATATTTACCGATATAAGTAAATAAATATATGTAAACACAGTCAATGCTCAAGTTCTCAAGCAGGGTATGTCACTATTTATCAAAATCCTTATGAAAAAATCGCAATCAAATAGAAAATTACGTCACTGCTGGCTTTTAGCGATTCTTCAAACAATGTCAAATCGGCTAAAAAAAACGTTTACGCCATAAGCATCAAGTTTTGCACAGCCGAACACTTTTGCGATAAGCTGCCAAATGCTAATGTCGCACATACAAGTGTAAATATGTATGTGCGTATGTATGAATAAAATCAAATTAGAGAATAGCACGTGTATAGGCACCCAAAAAGAGCTGTAATCCCAGCCAGCATTTTGGAAGATTGTTCGGAGAGTTACATACATATATGTAGAATAGCATTCTCGTCATCTCATTAACGAGTCGCATAGAATAGTGTTTGAGGACAATTCTTGTCAGCAATGAAATAGCGAACCTTTTCCGGGTTTGCCAAGCGATTGCAGAAATATAGTGGGAAAACTAAACATTGTGGAATGATCTCTTGGAGGGAAGTAAAAGCATAAACAGACGGCAACGTTGATCCGGATTAACTCGGGAATTAACTGAAGTTGATCCGGATTAAGTCCGAATTAATTGTTCATGTGGTTGTTGGTTTGTTGGTTTTCGTTAATAACTCTATTTTAAGAATGTTTAACTTTTTTTAGGTGTGCTGGTCCTTAAGTTATTTGTTTTTTTTTTTTTTGTTATTTTATGGCCTTATAACAATTATATTCAACAATTTTATTGAGCTTGAGGCCGTTTTTTTATTTATTAAAATGACTGATTTTTCGTTTTAAGATCTGATGTTTGAGATTTTTTCAAAGGCAGTTGAAAAATAATTATTTT